TTGGAGCAGGAGGAACCTTATAACAACTTAGAATGTAATCAGCTGCCTTGGAATAAGGACTAATGACCTCAGTGCTGGGAATCTGTAGTGGAATGTGTGGTTCCTGAGGAAAAGTCAACACTGGTGGTTTATAAAACTCACAAGGCCTTACACCTTCCATGCATCACATCTTTGTTGTGCTTGTTAAATTTTTCATTTATTCATTCATTCAAGTGTCTGTCATATGACAGACAATAATGGAACTATTTGGGATAGACAGGGTCACATTCTAATGGAATTATTTTTGGAAGTGGAATTAGGTTAAGAGAATGTTAGAATGACTTTAAACAAATCAATCTTAATTTTATTGTATACCACAATAGCCTCTCAAGATTGGAGATACTTTGTGTGTAAGTTTTTATATACCTAGGCATGTGTGTATATATAGTCATAATGTGGATGTAATTGTGTGTATGTGTGTTTCTTATAAGTGACGGGGAATAAGTAGTAACTAGATTTTCTTGGCTATGCCAGTCTCTATATAAAGAAAATAACTACCAAGTAATATTCTTGTGTGAATGCTTTCTGTATAATGTGTTGTAAGTTAATAGAATGCATTGCTTTGGTTTTGTGTTATTTTAAGTTTTGTTTGTTGCTCATTAAAAAAAAAAAAATTGGTGTTTAATGTCCAGATTACTGTGGTAAGCTGGACACTCTCTTAATGCTACTAAAAAGATTATAAATTTGTTAAATTCTTTCTAGAAAGCAAGATGACAATGTGTAGGAGGAACATTAATATCTTCATATTTTTGATATGCAAAATTTTGGGGAATTTAAGAGAAATAATCCATAGTGTGTGCAAATAATGGTTCACTATTACATAATTTATAACAGAAATGAAATGTTAAAAACTTAAATTATATATGAATAGAGAAATGAGTTGTCTTGTTATGGTGAATATGCTGTATGAATATCATGTAAATAATTAAATTTATGAGCTCAAGGAGGATATAATGACATGAGACAATGTTTATGATACATGCATTATGTAAAGAATAATATACATTTTATATGCTGTGTATTCTTAATATTTACAACAATTTCATAAAATTAGATGGAAGAAAATAGGCCAAAATTCTTTATACTTTAATCATGTTCCTCAATTTATACATGTGACATTTTATATCCAGCAATATCAATAAATATTATTTCTAAAAGTTCTGTGTTATAACTGGAGATAAATGCCTCTGTAATTGTCCATAAACCATTGAGCCGTTTCCCAGAGGGATGTAAAACCTCAACACTTATGCACATAACCATAATATGAATTCAAAGTTTTGCTAAATGAGTCATCAGATGGATGACTATATTTTAGTGCTAAGATAGCAATTTTCTTTTTTGTGTTGCTTTAGGAAGTTTTATCTTACCTTTGTTATGTGGTAAATGGAGACTTGTCTTTGTTTTGTGCATGGGGAGTCCAGTAAATAGTAGGAATGGTCTTCATTGAGCAATGGTTTTGTATGAAAAGGTTGTAAGTAAATAGAAAGCAGAGACATGCTATTTTCAGGTTGGGGCAATGTGGGGAGCAACTCGGACTAGACTAAGTTATTGGAATTAAGACTTATTCTATGCATCTGCTCTCCCACAATATGGCGCTGGGAGAGGAGTAAGCAACTTCTACACAGCTGCCTCTCGTCAATTTGATTGAGCTGCAGGAGCTGATCTTCCTCCTGATTGGAGGAGAGCAGCGTGCTCGGCATGTGGGTAGCAGAGTTGGGATTGGTGGAAGAGGACTATAAAGGAGGAGAGAGACAACATGCACCAGGAACATCCGGATAACATCTGAGCAGCCCCCGAGAGAGCCGGCCGGCGGTGTGCCACTCCCTCACGGAAGTGGGGAAAGTGGCAGGGGGAGCCGCCCTTCCACGGAGGTGGAAGGAAGGGCAGCTAACCTGGGAAGGACCAGCAGCAATCCTGGGGAGGGCCGAGCAGGCAAAAGAACAACGCAGGGTCCTGTGTCATTCCTCCATGAAGAGGGGGAGCGACAGGGCAATATGTTTTAAAATGTGGACCTGAGATCATCAGGGTCACCTCTAGTTCTTGTTTAAAAAAATGTAGGTTTTCCAACCTACTAAATCAGAATCTGAAGATGAACCCTGGTACTTTGTATTTTTTTAAAAAAATGCCCCGGTGAATTCTTCTGAGATTCTTTAAGCGCTACCAGTTGGGGAAGAGAGATTTGAGTTTTAGAAGTTTGTGGTGGAATCTTGTCTACTCCAGTGTTTATTACGAGGAAGAAATGAATGAACCTGAGTTACAGAGAACCTTGCTTCCCAGATAAATCAGAATTGGGGAATGAGGCCTGCTGGCTGCTGTATTCTGATTGTATGAGTTTTAAATTTGGAGCTCATTGAAAGAGCAGACAAGAGTGGTGAGTATCATCTCTGGGAATGGTGATAGGGTGACTCTACAGGTGATATGTTTTACCCAAAATACAGCAGTTGCCATTTTCATTTCTTCTGGAGTATCCTTTAGGTGAGATACTTGCCCAACTCATTGTGTTCCTAATGAAGCAGGCCTCAAGGAAAAGCCCTGGAGAATGGCAATAGATTCAGGTTATGTGTCTGTACGCTATGATCTGAATGTCTGTGTCTCCCCCAGATTTCTATGTTGAAACATGTTTTTAACGGGTATGGTATTAGGAGGTGGGGCTTTGGGGTGTGATAAGGTCATGAAGTTGTAGTTCTCATGAATGGGATTGGTGTCCTTAAAACAGAGACTGTGAAGAGCTGCTTTGCACTTCCCACGATGTAAGGAAACAACAAGAAAGCACTTTGAGGAAATAGGCTGTCTTGGCCTCCCAGCCTCTAGACTGACTGATACATTTTTGTTGTTATAAGCTACCCAATTTATGATGTTTCAGAATAGTGGCCTGGACAGATGAGATACTATATATGTCTGGATGGCTCGAACAATCTTAGGTTCTTCTTAAGTAAAAGGAGAAAAATACTAGCAGCAGACTAATAAATTTCATGCAAAACACTTAGCACAAGGCTGGTTATGAAGCAAGCACTTATAAGAGTTTACAGTGATGGCTTCATATGAATTCAACTATATAGGAATGGGAGGTGAGTCTTTTTCAGTTGACTTAGAAGTCCATGCTAGTTATCAAACAAGGCCAAGGATTGGGAGCACTACTGAATTCTTGAGAGGGGGAGGGAAAGACTAGGACACAGTACAGCCAGGTTGACTCATAATACTTCATCTGAGTTAGATTTTTGATGTCTATTGATTTAATGGTACATTCAAACCTGATGTCATTTATTGCACTCAGTCCTTTCAGGGTTGGCCTGGGACTAAATCAAATTATGTGAAGCATCATTTGTGAAGAGATATTCATCTGCGTAACTTGGCAGTTCCAAATAAAGTCAACACTCACTCCCCTCTGCACACTTGCCCACCCCAAAGCAGTAGATAGCCTAATCCTGGCCACCTGAAACATTGCATGTCTGTTTCAGTTCCAAAGAAAGTCAAAAATCATTCCTACACACACACACACACACACACACACACACACACAGATACACACATACAGCAATGCATAGCCTAACCCTGGCCACCTGTATAACATTTCTGGATGCCACATTCTATGAAGCTATTTTAGGTTCTAACAAATATATCTGGTCTTGGCCTTTATGATCATCACCGTTGTGAAATATATCTACTCCACCCTTTCTTATCTGGTTAGTAAATATTTTCCGAATAAAATCAATTCTTAAACTTATCCCTCCTTAAACTTGCATTCACCATGGAATAAGTACATGTAGACTCTGCCCACCTTTGGGAAAATAACCATCAAACAGAAACAAGCACACGAGGTCTAGACAATTACCAGGAGCAATCCTTTATATTATCCAGTTGCACAGAACACTTCTGGAATAAATGACATATCCTAGTTTAGGATACATCACCAGATTCAGGTCAGAGAGTATCCTCTGCCAGTCAATAAGAGTGCGGGTCACTGGAAGATCCCTTCGAAGAATTCTTCGCAGGGCCTCATTTGATAACTCCTGTAATTCTTCTAAGACGGCAGCTTGAAATTTATTCTCTTGTTCTTCCACAAGCCTTGCAAAACTTAGAGCCAGTTGTGCTTGGTTAACCACTTCCAAGCTTTCTTTGAGATCTTTGGAAATTTCCACATGAAGGTTGACACACCTGAAGTAGTGAGCTTGCACGAAGATTCTTCCTGTTACTTGGGTTAGAAATGGATTTACTTGGAAAATCCATTTAGATTTCCAAAGGCCATTCCAGCAGTCTCCTGTTTCATAGTTGTGATCCTCAATGCAAGCTATCAAGAATTCCTTACTCTTGATGGTTTTCCTCAGTACGTTACAGTTTCCTGTTGGATAGTGATCATTCACATACAGTTTCAAGGCACATAAAACAACAGTTCTCAGGTACTCTGTCTCATTACGAATGATCCCGTGACTTTGGATGTCTTTCAGCTGGTTTTGAAGCAGGTCAAATTTGAAAGAAAGTTTGCTTTGATAGTCAAAAAATCGGTAGTCCCCAATGACGTTGTGGTGGGACAGGAGTACTGCGTTCCCATCAATGCTGAGCGGGACGGAGTATTTTTGGCAATGCTGGTGTCCTGCACACTCACCTTGATGGTGCATCAGTTTTTCATCTCGGATGAGCAGACAGAGATCATCAAAGGCATTTACAAATTCCCCTGGCGGAGCCTGTATCAACAGTCTGCGAATTACTCTTTCTTTCTCCTTCCTACTCAGAACGCTAAGTGCCATGTTTGGTTGCCACAGAAGCAAAGCTTCTGAAATCAACAGTCTTCAAAGGATGAGAAAACATTCCATGAGACAGCTTCCCATCAAGGTGTTAAACATTCAAGCTTAAGATTCTTATGTCCAACCATGAAAACAGGTGACCTGGGAAGCTAAGTTTCCTGATGAAGTCATAAAGAAGCTTTCTTTATGAGGTGTTGAATTTTTGATGATATCATAATGGTTGTTCAGACCAAAGGAAAAAAAAAATGCCTGTCACCTGATAGTGTGGTGCCCAGCCAAGCAGTGATATTTTGAAGATTTTAAGAACTTAGCCTCCTGAACAGATTTCTTCTAAAATGGTGGGTCTCTGTGTGCATTATATGCTGTCAGGGATTTAGAGCAGCAGCCTGGAGTTTTAGGAGAGTGTTTGACCATATGTGCAACTCCAGCAATGACAGTGGCATTGATTTTACTCCGGTCCTCTGAATAGCTGCCCAACCCCACTGGAAGCACATTATGATAAAGAGTTTGATGGTGTTAAACAAAATGGTGCAGATAAAACGAGATACATTGGCAGGTCGTGGAAGAATGCCAGACAGCAGTGCTGCACCTATAAACACTGTGGCTTTGGAGTGGTCGGAACATAAGCAAGAAGCCAACAAGTTTCAAGTGCGGAGTAGAGAGCAGGGACTACATTTTGTGCCTTTCAGTGGGGTTTAAGGATGAGCTTGCTTCAAAGACCTAAGACAGCAAACTATTGTGTTTTCTCTGCTTCCTCCCTAGATTGGTGACAGTGGCAACAGTTGACTATCAAGAAATTCCTCTCTTGCAGATGAGCCAAGTTAATTTATCCAAGACCTGTGACCATATCAAATGAAGGCAGAGTTGGAAACGAAGAGAACTGGCACAGCAGTTCTTGAAAATATGGACACAAAATATCCTTTTCTTTGTCTTTCTTCTTTTTCTTGATTTACCCCTCTGAAGCATCTGGAACATAAGCTTCTCTCATTTAAGTATGATCTGTTCCTTCCACATATGTCCTGAACTTCTCTTTTTCCTGATATTTCTGACTTGTCTTTGTAAGAATGCAAACTTTGTCATATTAAGTCATACCCGTTGAATTTAAAGTTTTCTCATTAGTAATAACATTATGAAACTAAATAGAATTTTGAACAATTTTAAGGTATATATTTAATGATTTTATAGATTGTCATATTATTTCATTGCATTTTTAGTTTTTCAAAATGAACTGTCTTAGATTTTTGTAGGTTATCTGTGCATATGTAAACTTGTATGTAAATTTAATTATTTTAGCTTTCTATCTCATCATAATATACACTCTCTGTGATTTTAAAAATATTTTAAAAATACATGTATTTATTTGAGAGGTAGAGTTAGAGAGTGAGAGTGAGAGTGAGAGAGAGAGAGAGAGAGAGAGAAAGGTCTTGCATCAGCTGATTAACTCCCCAGATAGCTGTAGCAGCCAGAGCTGGGCCAATCTGAAGCCAGGAGCTTCTTCCAGGTCTCCCACGTGGGTGCAGGGGCCCCAGGACTTGGACCATCTTCTATTGCTTTCCCAAACCATTAGCAGAGAGCTATATGGGAAGAGGAGCAGCTGCGACACAAATTGGGGCCCAAATGGGATGCCAATGTCTCAGGTGGAAGCCTAGCCCATTAGCCACAGCACTAGCCCCTTCTTAAATATTTTTGATGGCACTTAAATATTGCCTTTTTGGGACATGTGTATAACTGAACTTTTGACTAATGTAGTAATAATTATATCAATCATGGTTACTATATATTGGGCACTCAATAGTGGGAACTGTAATCAATTAGCTTATATGGACTCATGTAGAGTTTCTACCTACCTCAAATTGAATATTAATTTATCCATTTTTCTGGCTGAGGGATCTGAAGCTGAGAGATGACATGAGGAGCGGGGCTGGACATTTAAGACCAGCTGCCTCCCATATACGTGCCTTCAGGCTGAAGATTGTAATAATGTTTTCACATATTTCTCTAGTATTAATTCTGTTTCTCAATTTTTACATTTTATTCTTCTATATTTTAATGTGCTATACCTTTTCTTACATTTATTGCAGCATAGTAACAATTAATTTTGTTTTAAATATTCTTTATCACACAGTTATTTTATTATTAACTTTAAGCACAAGATAGACTATCATTTTAAAAATAAAAAGATAGTACATTGAAAACAGATGAAGTATTCCTTTAAAAATTTTCAGTACCCAATGAAAAGTGTGAGAATTTCCTTAACATTTTTATGCTTCATACATGGTTTTTGTCGAAGATTCAGGATGACTTCAGAGGTGGAAAAATTACTGTAGAAAAAGCTCATAAGTTACTTGAAAAATTAGATATTCGATGCAGTTATATTCATGTGAAACATATTTTTAAGGTGAGAATGATATTTACCCCCTCTGTACCTCACCCTGGAAAGAATTTAATACAATTTAAGTAAATGTTAATAGCTACTCGGATGCTTTCTATAGAAAATACATATGAAAAATTAGTCTCTTAAGGATAAAAGGAACTAATTATGCTAATTATGCTCACAATCAAGATGAAGAGAACTTAGGTAGAAGATAATAGACAGTTTGTTAATAAAATTTGAAATAAAATCAGGCTACTGACTTAGAATAATTTCCTGGGTACATAGAAATACAGCATATAGGAATTTAGGATTGGTTGTATAATTATCAAAATAATATAAATGATGAAATGGTAAACTGATGGAATGTTAGTGATTTACAGAAGGCGTGAGAGAAGAAACTAAACCCAAAGCTACCAGAGGAAAGGAGTAATGAAGATTATGATTTAAAAATTAAAATAGAAAAAAAAGAAAAGAAAGGAAGAGTTTCTTGTTTTGTTTTTGAAAAGATTAAAAAAACACAAACCCTATATATGACTATGCAAAAAAGAGAGAAGACTCAAGATCAGAAATGAAAGAAAGATACTTTATAATTGGTCCTGCAGAAATAAAAAGATGTTACTATTAGTAATAACTAGAATCCCAGCAATCTGGACAACCTAAAAGAAAGAAGAGCTTCCCACAAACATACAACCTGCCAAGGCTGAATTAAGAAGAAATAGAAAACTTGGATATATTGAGAACAAGTAAGATGATTGGATTAGCAATCAGTCTCACAAATAAGTAGTACACCTCTAATAAAGAAAAACCCAGGACCAAATGAGTTCACAAGTGAATGTCGCTCCCCGTCTTCGTGGAGGAACGACACAGGACCCTGCGCTGTTCTTTCGTCTGCTCGGCCCTCCCCGGGTTTGCTGCTGGTTCTTCCCGGGTTGGCTACCGACCCTTCCACCTCCGTGGAAGGGCGGTTCCCCCTGCCACATTCCCCACTTCCGCGGGGGAGCGGCACACCGCCAGCTGGCTCTCTCGGGGGCTGCACAGGTGTTCCTTCAGATAGATGTTCCTGGTGCATGTTGTCTCTCTCCTCCTTTATAGTCCTCTTCCACCAATCCCAACTCTGCTACCCACACGCCGAGTACGCTGCTCTCCTCCAATCAGTAGCAAGTCCTACAGTTTATTGGTTGAACTGGAGGCAGCTGTGTAGAAGAAGCTGTTTCCTCTTCTCCCAGCGCCATATTGTGGGAGAGCAGATGCATAGAATAAGTCTTAATTCCAGTAACTTAGTCTAGTCCGAGTTGCTCCCCACAGTGAATTCTACCAAACATTTAAAGACTATTTAATGCCAATCCTTATTCAGAAAATGGAAGAAGAAATATTTCCAATGTCATTTTGTAAGGCCAGCATCATCCTAATATGAAAGCTAAACAAGGACACCACAAGAAAACTTCAGGTTGATGTTACTGATAAACATAGCGGCAAAATTTCTTGATAAGGTAGTAGCAAGCTGAATCTAATGGCACTTTAAGTAGCTCATACACTATGACCAAATGGGATCTATATCTGGCATGAGAGGATGGTTCATTTTGATATACCATATTAAAGAATGAAAAATAAAAATCACATGATCCTAGAATAATGCAAAAGTTGTATGTGAGCTAAATTGACATTCTGAAATTTGGTTCTTTTTTTTTTTATAGTCCTTGTCTATACTCTTGCAGAACAATGGCTTGTCTCCTTACTACTTGTAGAATTCTGTGTTTAGTGGAGGGTTAGGCTTGTGGCTATAAAGAAAATCATAAGTGTGTCATTATAAAAATTAAAGGAAAATTAGACAAAAAGGGAAGGGTGGGAATGAGGGAGGGGGAAGGGTAAGGTAGGAAGTATCATTATGTTTCTTAAAATAGCACATATGATGTATTTGAAGTTTGTCCCCTTTTTATTAATATAAATAATTTCAAAAATGCAGAAAAAGCATTTGACAAAATTCTATGGTGTTTCATGATTTAAAAAAACCATCCAAACAAAAATACTCACTACTTCAAGTGTGGAAAGAACTTACCTCAATACAGTAAAGGCCATCTTTGAATAGGCCACAGCTAATGTCATATTTAATGGTGAAAAACTGAAAGATTTTCTTCCGAGAATAGAACAGGGCAAGTATGCCATGACTACTTCTATTAAGCATAGTCCTGGGAGCACTAGCCAAACCAGTTAAGAAAAAGAAGTAAAAGTCATCCATATGAAAAGGCAGAAGTAAAAATTATGCTTATCTACAGATGGCATGATATTATACATAGACAACTCTAAAGACTTTGCCAGAAGCTATTAGAAATTTTTAAACAAAGTTAGTAAAATAGCAGGATACAAAATCCATATGAAAAAATCAGTTGTGCTTGTATACGGTAATAATGAACAAAAAAATCAAGAAAATAATCTCTCTTATGTTAGCATGAAAAATAAAATACTTAGGTATAAAGTTAACCAAAGAAACCCTTGTACCTTGTACACTAAAACTATAAAACATTGAGAAAAAAGTTTAAGACACAAGTAAATGGAAAGATATCCCATGTTCATACTTCCATGCCTTTGAAGGTAATTATAGATTTAGTGCAATCCCTATCAAAACCCAATGGCATTTATTTATTTATTTAAAAGGAAGCTGGAGAAAGATAAAGAGAATCTTCTCATTTGATGATTTATTTCCAAATGGCCACAAGATCTAGGACTAGGGCAGGTTGAAGCTGGGAGCTGGAAAGTCAATGCAGGTCTTCTATTGGGGTTGCAGGGACACAACTACTTAAGATATCACTGCTGCCTCCCAAGGTATGCATTAGCAGGAAGCTGGAATTGGGAGTAGAGCTGGGACTCAAAGCCAGGTACTCCTATATGGGACACAGGCACCTTAATTGCCATCTTAGCTGCTGGACCAAGTGGCGTCTCTGTCTTCTTGCTCTTCCATGAAAGTTTTAATAGAAATAGAAAATATGATCTTAAAATTCAGCTTCAACAACAACAAAACATGCAGAGTAGCCAAAATAACTTTTAAAAAGAATACACTTGGTGGTATCACAAGTTCTTATTTCAAAATGTATTTAATAAGTGCAGATTCAAAACAGTATAATATGGACATAAAAACAGATACATACAGCAATGGAATGGAATAGAGAGCTGAGAAATATACCTATGCATATACAGGCAATTCATCTTTGATAGAGATGCTAAGAATATATCATGGCAAAAGGATAAATGGTATTAGAAAAACTGGATATCCACATGTGAAAGAATTAAGTTGGACTTGTTTCTCAGATCAAACACAACAATCAACTCAAAAGGCTTAGAGGTCACACCTGAAAGTTTAAGTCATTGGAGAAAAAATAGCACAAAATTTCTTGACATTGATCTTGGCAATGATTTCATAAATTTGACAGCAAAACACAGACAAGAAAAACAAAGGCTACCAAGTATATCTCAATAAAATGGTTTAAAAAGGTCAGAAAGAGGGAGCAGGTATGTCGTCTAATGGTTAAGACACCTTCATTTCACATTGGAGTGCTTGGGTTTGATGCCCACCTCTGGCTCCTCACTTTAGCTTCTTGATGATGTGAAACTTGGGATGCAGCAGTGACGGCTCAAGTATTCTGGTCCTTGCCACCCACGTGGGAGACCTGGATTGAGTTTCTGTATCCTGACTTTGACACCCTGGTCATTGCAGGCATCTGGTGGCTGAGTCAGTGGATTGGACACTTCCTCTTCTTCCGCTCAGGTTCAAAACTTGAAAACATTTTAAATAATCAAGAGAGAGGAAGTAGTCTGAAGAAATGTTTTCTTTCACTTTCACCAAAGGAGAAAATCATGCCAAAAATTCTCTTTGCTTAAAGAAAAACTGGTAGGAGGGGCACCTGTCTCAATTCTGCTGTTAGATAATTGAGGTCACAAACCAAGTCAGAAAAAAATCAAGTGTTTTAACTGAGTTTTGTTTCTAGAAGGTGACAAATTTCTTGGATTATCAAGTAAAAAATGCTGGACTACTGGCCAAGCTAGATAGTTAGGGACACAGCAATGCTGAATACAGGTGTGTTTCTGAAAGTGAGTATCCGGATAACACAATGTGTGCTCCAGTTGTTATCATGAACAGAAACTGGCGTCTGGTAACTTAACAAATTAACCTGCTATAGTATCCTGAATGCTGGCAGAGGCAGGCTTGTGGATAAGAGGAAAAGCACAGCTTGTTACTCCTCTTAGAGATAATGGTCGCCAGAGTATTAGTGTTTTGTGGCCATTTCTCCAGGCCCAAGTTCCCCCAGTGTGATATGAAGAACATCAGGAGACACAGCAAGTGGACTTTGTTACAGGAGATGGACCTCAGGCTCCTGGGGCCTTGGTCTTTTACAATGAGCAGTAGAGGACTGTCTGATATTTTCCTAGAGGTTGTTATTGGCATTTTAGGCTCTAGACGAATCTGCTTTTTCCTTTGGAGGGAGATGGTATCTTTATGAATGCTGTTTGCTATACAAACATCCTTGAAAAGCTAGCCCTGAAGAGAAGCAGTGGGTAGAAACACAGAAGCTCTGTAGAAAAGCATCTTTCAACAACCGTATCTCTGAGTACCTAAGTTTACAATCCACAAAAGGGAGGTTCAACAAAGAAAGGCTCTAATTCTCAGGAGACAGCAATAAATGATAAAATTTCACAGTATTTCTGTGAATCTAAGTAGTCTATACTATTGTGAGCTTTCAAAATTTTAGTGGTTTCTTATCTAATACCACATCTGAAGCACACAAGTTTTGTGAAAGATCTTAACGTGTAGGATTTCCCTCCCACTGGTATGTCCAAAAGGAAGACACAGTTATGCATTTTTGGATTTAATAAAATTCATATTCAACACAATATAGAAGCAGTAATACATTGAAATCATCAAACATGAAAAGTAGATGGTATCTGTTGTTTTTGGGTTGCTTTGAATTTTCTTCATGATAGTGGCATCTGAAGTACAACTGAATAAAACACATGCCATATTTATTTATTTT